TCTTCGCTAAAATGAAAAAAATAAAAAATAAATCAAAGGTGATATTCTCACAGGAGATGTATCTTTCGCAGCACATGAAAAATGAAATTTGGTTTTAAAAATACTTTTTGTAGCTCGAGGTGTGGCAATTCTAATTCTAAATCTCAGTCTGCTTTGAATTCTGCAAGGACATTAGTGACAAGGAAGGAAGATATATTTTTAAAAGGGGCAAAATTGAGAATAAAATGGTCACATTGGTCAATGTATATGCCCCTCCTGATTGCGGTAAACTTTTTTTTTAAGTCCCTTTTCAATGTAGTAGCTCAAGAGTCAGAGGGAGTTCTAGTTTTAGCAGGTGATTTTTATGTGGTAATGAACTAAAGATTGGATACCACCAGCCACTGTAATAGGAAAAGACAGATTTCGAAGTTTGTTAGGAACCTTTTGGAAGATCTCGGTTTAATTGACGCATGGAGTGATATTCACCCTCTAACCAAAGATTATACCCACTATTCAGCAGCTAACAAAGTCCACTCACAAATTGATTATTTTTTTAATAGTAAAGAGGATCGACATGTTACTCCCTTCTTATCTTCTTTAGGCTGGCAGTACATTCTATGATACAGTATAAGATTCTGCTTAACAACTGACGCTTTTGACCATATGTCAACATCCGCCGTTTTAGGGTACCCATTAACGTCGGTTATGACGTTATCGAATCCTAACCCTATCCCAGACCTGAACCTAACCCGTCACCTACCTGACGTTAAAGGTAAAGCGTCAGTTGTATGACGTCCCAGGATCGTCATCTAACTGACGTTAAAGGGTACCCTAAAACGGCGGATGTTGACGTATGGTCAAAAGCGTCAGTTAGTTGACGTCTTGGGATGAGACTGTGTTGGTTTTTAAAGCACTTCATGGAATGACGCCAGAATATTTAGCTGAGTTTATTAAGCCCTACAATGTGGGTGTAAGATTAAGATCAGCAAACAAGTTTCTTTTAACTGTTCCCCGTGTACGTCTCAAAACAAAAGGTGAATGTGCCTTTGCATGTCCTAGATTGTGGAATGAGTTACCGTTGGATGTTAGATCTTCCATAAATTTAAATGTTTTTAAGTGCCACTTAAAATTGTATCTGTACTCTTTGGATTTTTAGTACAGTACACCAGTACATGGATGTTTTCTTTGTTTTCTTTTCTGTTTGTCAATATGTCTGCCGGTTATTTTATTGTAATGGACAGCACTTTGGAACAACAGTGGTAGTCAGTAAGGTGCTATATAAATGAATAAACAAAACGAAATGACACAGAGTGAAAGAATGTGAAATCGGAGTGGCTGACTTATCAGATCATAATGTTATTGAATTAAAAATAGATTTGAACACTCAAAAAAGAACACATTATGGAGGCTTAATAGGAAAACTAAATAATAAAGAAATTGTGAAGCAAATAAAAAAAATAAATGAAGCTATATATTGAGGAGAATGATCCAGGGGATGTTAACCCCATTCTTGTATGGGATGCTGCTAAGCCAGTTACAAGGGGTGAGGTTATTGACATGAATACTGCTTTCAAAAAAGCTAAATTAGCAACGTATGACAACCTAGTCAAAGCTTTGGAGCATAAACACAAGAGCAATCGGCATTTAAAGATGCTTAAAACAAATGAAAGAAATAAGGGGACAGATAAATGACATTTTTAAAAGCGAGCTACGTTAAGTCCTATTACGAATCAGGTCCTAAAAGCACAAAGATGTTAGCTCGTCAATTAATGAAACAACAGGCATTTGTCTATAAAAATCAGGATCCCACGACAAAACAGTTAGTATATGAACCAGAAAAGATTGAAATTATTTTTGAGAATTATTTCAAATCATTATATTCCCAACCCCCAGCTGCAAATATACAGTAGGAAGAATGAAAACATTTTAAACATCCTATAGATCTACCCACGATTGGTTCAGCACAGAACAAATTGTTCACTACACCAATCACAATGGAAGAAGGAGAGAGCGATAAGTGGGATAAAAAATAAAATAAAATAAATAAATCCCCAGGAAGTGACAGCTTCCCATGCTGAATGGTCCAAGATGTTGAGGAAAGAATTGAAACCAATCTTACTAAGATCATTTTATCAGACCCTCAAAGAAGGGAGACTCCCCCCATCATGGAGGGAGGCTACACATAACAATAATCCTCAAAGAAGGTAAAAATAAAGAACATTGTGATTCCTATGTATAGCCCGATCTCTATTTTGAATGTAGACTAAACTATTTATCTCGATAATCTCTAAAAGGTTTGACAGTTTTCTACCTGGTCTAATTGATGAGGATCCAACTGGTTTTATTAAGAGACAGAAAACACATGATAACATAAGGAGAACATTACATGTTATAGAGAATATTAAAGAGAACCATGAATGTGCCGTTATTCTGAGTCTTGATGCAGAAAAGGCATTTGCTAGTGTCAATTGGGCCTTTCTGTACCAGGTGCTTGAAAGATTTGGATTTAATGAAAAATACAGTAGTAGAGTGTAAAATTTTAGTAAAGTGTATTAGAACAATTTATTCAGAGACCCAACAGCCAGAATCAAAGTTAATGGTCATTTGTCAGCCACTTTCAGTCTAAGTAGGGGTACAAGACAGAGCTGCTGTTTGAGCCCCACTCTTTTTGCTCTTTATGTTGAGCCTTTGGTCCAAGCAGAGTGAGGAATTGGGATAAGAATTGGAGGTGACCATCATGTAATTGGGTTGTTTGCTGATGATGTCATTAATTATATTAGGGACCCTGAAACTGCTCTCCCATTGCTCATGAAGATTTTAGGAAACGATCTGTATATAAATGTCTCAAAAACTCTGATGGCAGAAATATTTGCTTTCACCAGAGCTTTATATAGGGAAGGTTTTTTCAACCACAAATTGAGTAACTTCTGGGAAGCAGCAGGCGTCTGCCGAACATCTTGTGTCTGCCAAACGTCTCGCCTGCGTCTGCCGAATGTCCAGTCAAACACATCACTCATTCATGTGCAGAACGTGACGTCTGCGTCTGCAGAACGTCTCGCCTGCTGCAGGGGGGTTTCCAGCACATTTCACACACTTTTTTTTATTTTTTTTATTATTTTCTTCCACTGATCTTCAGTTGTATTTTACGTATTAACAATTAAGTGATTTTTACCTTGCTTATCTATAGCTTCTTATTCCAAATAGTAAATTAGTGAATAGTGAATTTACACAAATTATCATGTTTACATTTTTGTTTGTCATTGTGTCTTGTCAGCATCCGCAGATACTTGTGAAGAAATCATAAAAAGTGGTTCTAGCATTTATGTATATTCACCAGTAGGAGTCTCTTGAACAACACAAAATAACATAGGCCTAGTTGAAAACATTTGGGCTTATTTATCTAACATAAATATTTGTAATTTGTAATACTCATAATGTTTAATTTAGAGTTGTAATATTTAGTTTTAGAGTTTCGCTGAAGTTCGATTGACAGTCGATAACAGAATTATAAAACTGAATTAAAATAGTTCAAAAATAGTTCAAAAGAGAAAGGCGATCACAGTTTATTATTATTAGGCTATTATTATTATTTAGACTATGTCTTTGCTGGTGCATAAAAACATTTAAATTTGTATCAAAAGGTAGGCTACAGAAATATTTTTGGCACAATAGTCATAAAATCCAGAAGAGAATTAACATAGGGCCAGGGTTTCTCTTTCAATTCTCCCATGCATGGTTTTTGATCGACCAGTTCACGTGCTGTTTGGACAGTAGGTCTAAAGAGTCACAAAACGGTATGTCTATTTGTTGTTTTAATTTCTTAAAAAAAAATAGAGAATACACACAAATCACAGATGCAGTCACGTTCATTGAGACGGGTGCATGTTGCAAAGTCATATTAAAGAAATGATCAGAACGCCTCTGACACACTACACTGAGGCTACTGTGAATAGCGTGTTAAATAGGCCTACGTGTTAGGGGGAAAAAACAATAAATAACTTGAATGTCACGTAAATGACACGTGACGTCTGACTCGACACTTCACTGCCAAATTTTGGCATGGAATACCCGCCATATTGCCAAGCGTGATTTGCATGACGTCAGCGTGACGTCCGCCTTACGTCTGCGTCTTAAATTAAATGGAATAAATAGCAGAATAAAGAAATAAAATAAGACGTTGAGTGAGACGTTCATTGAGAGGAGTGAATGTTGCAAAGTTAAAATAAAGAGCAGATCAGAAAGCTGCAGGGTAGCCTGCGGTGAACAGATGAGGAGGAGAAAACAGAAAGAATTTCAGCAATTTTGGTGGTCATAAAGGTCATAAAGTTGGTACATTGTTCTTATGAATGGGGAAATTTGAGGTTTAAGGAGATGATTTATGGTAGAGAACAACCGTTTGTAATTGCCAGGACTATTATTAATATTTAATAATAGCTTAATTGAAACAGTGCTGATACACGACCGAGTTCGAATACACCAAGTCGCTCTACTCCCTCTTCCCATCACGTATCAAATCACAAATCAGATTATTTTAAATAAAAAAATAAACAAAAATATATAGGCAATTTGAAAAATGGAAATTAAGCGTCTAACATGTGTTTAATAAAAAAAAAAAAAAAAAAGTGTTTATCGGTTAGGGGTCGGTTTAGGAGGGCTTTACTGTCCCAATAAGGCAGCATCCATTTTAAAGGTTTAATAAATATAATTTACAATCTATATTATTATTTCATACAGTTTAATGTGGTGAGCATTCAAATATTATTTGCACCTCAACACTGAGGTGCAAATAATATCTGCCAATAGCATAAGCTACATTGCAAAGAAACCTCAAAATCACCATACAAATTCTTAGACCTTTAATCAGGCACTGCTCATGCTTGAGTCATAGAGCATGACTTACTGTAATGGGGTTTCTAACCCCAATATTTACAGTAATAGCTGTGAACACGCAACAATAGTGAACACGCAATAGTAATGGCCACGTAATTGTTTATTTGCTCAAGAATTTGGCACGGAGTCAAGCGCGGCAGGTCTTGCGTGAGCAAAGCAGGAAGCGACACTGGATTGACCTGACCGAGAGAGCCTCATGTTTTCAATATGCCGAAACTTAACGAGTAGGCTGTTTGTTTTTGGGCGTTGAAGAAAACACGTGGGAGAAATGGCATATAAAGAGGTGTCCGAGCTGAGGGAATGAAGCGGTGCTTTTTAAACTATCCGTTATGGAAATGGGAAAAGAAGATATTGTCGCTAAAGAATGCGTGGTTTTAATAAAGCCCAAGAGCCGTCTGAAGACACAGTTCCACTCACTGCGGCGACAGGTATACTTCTTCCAGTCCATCTGCGTGCTATTCTGCTTCACCAGCTGCCTGTACATGATCATCAGTCACGCATACCCGTCGACGTGCAAGGTAAGACGCATTCAAAGTCAACTTACATGTCACTACTAGTGAGACAGTGAAGTTTATAATTTGCTTTGCTGAATACACCATACAGCACTCACTAAATATAATATGGTTTCATTCAAATCTTACATTCAGATAAGCTACATGGTAGGCTACTATTATTAAAAACGTGTAGTAAATGGAATCCATAGCGTACTGCATATTGTAATTTAATATAGCTAATTAAGCATGAAATAACTACCTGTCTAGTGCCATTAATAAGTACTAGTAGCCTATCTTATTAGGCTTCCTAGTTAAACTATGACATGTGCCAGTACTCATGGGAAAACTTAGTTGTCAGAAGTAAATAGTGGATAACACAGTTAATAGGATATGACTAATACCAACAGAATAAGTAGGCTACTTAAAAATATGTTGCTCATTTTTACTTATTTATTTGTTTTATTGATAAAAAAGTACAGTTATGCCTGAGATAATCAATACACTGATTAATTTAGGATTCATTGTTTATTTACATTTGCTCTATATTTTCACAGGAAAATATAACTGAGGCACCTAAAATTGGTGAGTTCATTACTAAAGCTGAATTTTATTGTAAATATTGAATTTAGTGTCTTTCACATTGTGGTACCATGGTGCATTATATACTGTATATATATATATATATATATATATATATATATATATATATATATATATGCCATCTTGAATATCACATTTTTCATCCTTAGCAATGCAGCGTCAGAGCAGCAAAGCAGTGACCCCGACACAAATGAACACACCCATCATTCGTCTGACTGGTAAGAAGTAATGTATTAAGTTCATTAAGAAGTAATTCATTAGTAGGCATACCGGTAAATACAAAACATAATCACCAATTTACCATTTGGAAACTATTAACTGTAACCAAGAGATGTTCCTTTAATCAGACTTGTGTTTACTTGCTGTAATAGGCTCTGTAAATATTAAGTAGAGCACATGATTGATTATTAAAAAAAATCATGACCTTGTTTCAAACACCCACGCCATCTTATTCCTAATTGACAACGATTTAGCTATGCCTATTAAAACTTGGACAAGTGCGATCACAGTGGAACATTCAAATAATTATTTCTGTGTTATAATAATTAAAACGATTGCAGAAGTATACTGGGATAAAAATGTATAGATCGGATGTCACTAATGTCTATGGTAGAGATCGAAATAAAGTAAATCAAATCACCATTTTAAAGTAACTTGACGCTTCAAATAATTATTCAAATGAATCAAAAATGTTAAAAATGAAGGAGTTTCATCACTGACATTGACCAGGTGAAACAGATATGTTTGAGCCAGATGTTAGACAATACCATATCATATGTAATTTTCATTCTCAAAGATTCTTAAAAATTTTTTGGCTAAATGTATTTACATGTTTCCCTTCTCTGTAGTGAACGGAAGTGGTTTGCTTAAAAACGGAAATTTTGCTAATAAAGAACAACTTGTGCCATGGCAGCTTTCACAAGAAAATCTGGCACCAAACCATAATGAATACTTGACATTGGAAAACAACACATCTCTGAGGGTCAATCATGACGGAACGTACAAAGTTTCTTTGCAGATCACGTACAGAGGAACCAATGAATGGATGAAAACCACCGGTGGTAGCTCCACTCTGGAGCATAATATTAAGTATCACACTGACAGATATGGTAATGGGGCCCTGCTTCTGCTCACCTACATAGAAACAGTGACATTTACATCCCAATACTGGAAAAAAAGTATGTTCTCTGAAGGTATTTTTTTTCTCCAATCTGGTGATAGACTCGAGGTAGGGACCAACAGTCTGCGCCTTATTGATTCTGGAATAACTGCGGGGAATGTCTTTGTGGTCTATCCTCATTTTTCCACATGAGGAGAATATGACGAAAATAAAAAAAACAAAAATGACATTCCCTCTGTGCTTTTCATAAAGATCAAAAGGGCTACCATGAATGATGTATCATATACATTTGTCTGTCATCTAAACCAGTTCTTTTTCTGTCAGCAGAATAATTTGGATCTCAGATATATTTGAGATATAATTAATAGCAAAGCCATGTACAGAACAAAAAAATATGGTGGAACAGTGACTGTGTCACATTTTAATACCAGGGTATTTTGATATATTTGGTACTGGAATATTTTTTTCAAGAACATGTCAAAAGAAAAAAGAAATGCTCTTACCATTGTGGGCTACTTTGGGTATTTTGTATGTTCTGCTTCAACGCTGCATTTGAAAGCATTGCAATGGAGGAAAATTCTATTTTGATTGAATTTGTTCAGAAGATATAAAACAATTTTTTTTTTCAAAGTTTTTTTATTTTCCCAGTAATGTCAAAGCTTTGTGTGGACAAACGTATTGTATGTTATAATATTTATGTCATTGTAACCTTATTTATGGCTTTCGTATGCTATTTATGTTCAATAGTTAAGGATTTGGGTTGCTAATGCAAAGGTTACAATTACGGTAACATTACGGAACGAAGAAAATGATCACAATCCTTATACTGCGGTGTTTCATCTCATGCTTTTGAGGTACATTATGGGTGCTGTCATTGGAATTCGTATTACTTTTTGATTAAAAGGGTTAGCAGTTTCTTGAAATCACCAAATATCACATTTGTAATGATTTGCATGAAATATCTTTTATGTACACGAATGCACCTTCAAAATGACATTATTTCTCTGGCCATAAAGCATCAATAAATACTATTACATAAAGCCAGTGTCTGTCTCACTGGACATCATATCAGATATATCATTTGCAGTGTTGTGCAAGTTACTTCCAAACTGTAATACATTAGGTATTACTTGTTACTGTTATTTAAAAGTAATTCATTACCTTACAATATTACTGTCCCAGAATTGTAATGCGTTACATTAATCATGTATTACTTTTGAGTTACTTTCACCAAAATAACTAAGTAGAACTTACGAACCTACAGAATCGCGACACACCTCTTCCAACTCCCAGCGTTATTCTCCTTACCGTCCATATCCAATGCTGCCTTATCTTTAAATTAGGCTATTATTTGAAGTTAACATTATAAAATACGTGGACCTACACCACAAAACTAGTTGAGGATAAATTATTTAAAATTGGGGAAGTCCAGTATTATGGACATGATGACATTTGCAGTCAAAACTTGAAATAAAAATTCTCAGAAAATACATGTATTGAAAATAGGCTACTTCCTTAAAAGACTCCAGACATTAGACAAATATCAGTCTATGTTTTATTTTTAATATTAGGGAAAAGACACACATTCATGCGTGACAAAAAAATAGGAGGCAAAATATATTTTTTGTAATTCTGTTAATTACACTGCGCAAATCGGATGAGGAAGGGTTGGCTCTCCAGTCTCCATAGAACTTAAAATATTCATTTTATTTTAGTTTTCGTGTTCGTGTTCGCATTTATGAGGAAAAAACAATGTTAGAGACATGACCGCTCTGAACTGGCACTAAAAGACTGCTTTAAAACTTTCACATAGTCTGTTGCCTTTAAGAAGTAAAAGCAGACAATACACTGTAATACAACTGTAATACAAGCCTCACTGAACATGTAACGAGTAAAATATTACTGAAAATTGATTAGTAATGCCTTACACTACTGCGTTACAGCAAAAAGTAATATGTTACTGTAATGTATTACTTTTGTAATGCGTTACTCCCAACACTGATTATTTGTATATTGATATATCTGAAACCTGCTGCGTTTCGGGGATGCCAGATAACCGCTTAAAAGCGACCATTTGCTTGATATTTCATGTTATATTAGAATTATATATAAGGCATCTGAAAAGGCATAGAAAATGGCTATAAAGTTTATTTAAACTAGTTTCAAATGGTTTATCGTTGCAATATATCACCACATCTAAGTAGATTAGTCATAACTCTTGTCATGTCATAACTGCTTTGACAGCATTTGGTGTCTGACAGATAAGAGATTAAAGCAACAATATCTATGAAGTAGTTGGCATTGGGGACCAGTCAAATAAAAATTTATTATGATACATTTACGTTAGAAGAAAATTTGCATATTAGGTTAGGCTGTAAAACATTTAAAAACTATTTGCCAATAGAGTGAGCGCTATCAATTCTATTCAATATATTACTTCAATGAGCTCATTGTTCCTGCCTGGGACCATTAACCTTTAGACAAAATACCCCCCAAAAGAATACCCCAATGTTCAAACTTAAATTTGAGGATGTGAACCATGTGATCACAAAAGGCAAAATTACTTGAAATGGACATGAATCCCATGCAGCCTTTGCTAATGACCTCATAGAAGGGTTGTCCCGGAAGGTTCCAGAATTCTGAAATTCTGCAGGAAAAATGCACTCATTTCAATAAGAATCTGCAAGATCAAGAATTTCTCCCCACACGGGTTTCGGATTCAACTAAGCTGAACTTTGAACACATTTATTCACTGCAATCACTAACATAAAGTTACATTAGTGTCATAAAAAGTGTAGAGATGATTTTAAGAAACAAGTCATTGTAACATTACAAAGTTAAATTTCTGTAAGACTTATTGAGGTTTCATGCATTTATACCACATTTCTGTGTCCAGCCACAGGCTTATTTCTAGTTATGCACTGTGTAAACTGAAATCTTTAGTGTTTTTTTTTTTTATTTAGTTAGCAATGTTTTTAATGTCAATTTACATACCCACACACAGATTTACAGTGCTTTCTGTCTGATAAAGGTGCATTCCCTGACACAGTGAACTGAGTAATTATAAAGCTGAAGTGTAAAAGTGACACTCCCTTTCTAGTGTGGGATGGCATGAGAAGGATTTCAAACACATGACTCAACAAGTGTGATGCAATCTAATCATGCTGTTAGTTGATGCACTTTCAGGATTGCTTTTGCAGACACTGCTATTTGCTACCATATGCTATGAAGTGTTAATAGTTGCTTAAAATAAGTTAATGTTTTATTTTATAAGTGTTTTTTTTTTCAAGGCATGTTTGAGCACCTACAGGTTCGATCTTTGAACAAACAAAACTTAAAGGTGCAGGTGCAATTTCTGATAAATTTTGATGGAAATGAAAATCAGCACCTAAACAAACAATTTAGTGAATATTTCGATTTCAAATATCAACAGTGACAATACTCAAAAATTGCTTACTGTACCTTTAATATATAAATATACATAAAACATACATGACATGGAATTTACTAATGTTGCATGTGGGATTGGGAAGCAGTGAATAACGACAGGAAATAACTATCACATGTGACCACTACTCCTCCAGAAGTTGTAAAAGTAATGTGAAATAAAATTTACTAAGTGCCAATAATTCCGCATTATAATTTGAATTTGTCATCATATTAATGTCACGGAGGAAGCAGACCCAGTTTTTTTTTGTTTTGTTTTTTTGCAGGTAACAGGTGAATCACATACAATGCAGATAAGTGAACAACATGAGTTATGTTAATATTAGAAATTCAATGAAGAACGTTGGTAACCAAAAAGTTTTGATTCCCATTGATGTCCATTTTTTTTTTCATTCATTAACGTTAGTGGGAACTGAAACTGTTATTCTATCTCTCTTAGTAACTATCTTACTTCATGTTCCACAGAAGAAAGAAAGTAACACAAGATGGACTACCCCAAGTTAAGTCGACAGCATAATAACTTCTTGAGCTTTGTATAAAAGTTTTTGAAAAGCAACATGCAAGGCTGTAAAAAGTTGGCTGTTGGTGTGGGCTTGTCTTGTCATGTTTAATCGTCCCCTGTCAGTCTATTAGTCAGGTGTTTCCCAATAACCACGGCCCCTTGTTATCCTGTCTAGCTCATTTACCCCTGTTTTAAGCCCTGTGTTTCAGTCTTTGTGAGTTCTTGATGTTGTAGTGTTGATGTTGATGTTTCCTGCTCTGAGTTTGTAAAGTTTGAAGTTTAGTTAATAAAGTGTGCTGCATTTTTAGATCCTGCTTTCCTCCCTTGCTTCAACCACTTCATGACATAGGCGACTCTGCATCTCTTTTTGAAACTATGTCCGGGTCTGCCTGTAAACAGTTGTAACAAGCATTTAGATAAAAGGTTTTTAAGATTCCTTTATAATTTCCCAAGTCTGTCCAAACATCTCATTCATTCAAAGAATGACTGCTTAAAAATCAAAGATCACTGTCTCTGGCTATGTCATAAACGAAACTTCTGATCATCCAATGCTCTGGATTCTAAACATTGTTTTCTTTTTCAGGAAACGCACACCTACGATTGTTTGATTGAATCAAAGTACTTCCCTTTATTGCACTTTTGAATAGTGCAACCACAGAAACTAGAATGAGTGAAACCATTACTCGGCATGTCACTGTGCTGTGTGTAGGTGTTAGAGTACGGTTAATAGTTCTAGTCCTGTATTTTGTCCAGATAATACAGTCTGTGGGGATTCCCCATTTTATACTAATCACCAGGAATGTTTGGCATCCTTGTGAGAATGATCAGATAGTTTTGTTGTATATAATTATGGTCCGCCGTCTGTAAAGTGGCTCACGCTGAAAATAACAGCAACATTTTGTCACATTTAGCTTCAAACTATGTTTAAAAAACTGGTATGAATTTTTGACAGTCACTTTTTAGCACATTTATATCTATATTGTCAACTTAGAGATATTTTAATAGCTAAATCTAAATATTAAATGTTACACCTAAATCTTAAATGTTAAATCTAAATCTTATTTAACAAAATGTCGCTGTTATTTTCAGTGTGAGCCGTGAGCTTTACAAACGGCGCCCCATAGATATTGCATCAATATTCTTCTAGTTTTATAGCACCTTTTTTTTTTTTTACTTTGCAAAATTCAAATGTGTTTTGTTTTAATAAAAGGAAGGGAAAAGTTTAATTAAAGGGAATTCTAAAGAGGATATGGTATTTGGACACTTTAGCATGCCTATCATTACAAAATAAGATAGAAAGTGACATACTATATAACAAGTAACCAAATGGAACTTTTAAAAATGTAACTTTTCAGCACATTTCCCGAAATCACCGTTAGCCAACTGGTCGCTAGGGCTGTGTTTGATACATCAATACAACAATACATCAGATTCTACTTGTCGATACAAGTATCGCTGCTTCTGCACTCTCAGAAAAAAAAGATACAACAGCTGTCACTGGGGCTGTACCTTTTCAAAAGGTAAACTTTTGTCCATTTTAAGTGCTAATATGTACATTTTAGGTGCTAATATGTACATTTTAAGTGTTAATATGTACATTTCGGGAGCTAATATGTCCATTTTAGGTCCTAATATGTACATTTTAGGTTCTAATATGTACATTTAAGGTGTTAATATGTACATTTTAGGTGGTAATATGTACATTTTAAGTGTTAATATGTACATTTCGGGAGCTAATATGTCCATTTTAAGTCCTAATATGTACATTTTAGGTTCTAATATGTACCACTAAGGTACCAATATGCAGCCTTTGGGTACAAAAGTGTACCTTTTGAAAAGGTACAGTCCCAGTGACAGCTTTTGTACCTTTTTTTCTGAGAGTGTGTGTCAATTCAACAGCACATTCGCAGCAGTAGACACACTTATTTTGAATACAAGAACAGCGTTTAAAACAGAATGAAAATGTGCAGAAATTAATGAATATAACATAATATAAAAGCTAGAACAAGGTTTAATCTGGCCCACAGAGGAAAGAGGAAAATAACTGGAGTTGCCTGATGTCAAGCGTCATGATTCCCCAATCAGAGCTTC